AGAAAGGCTTCAGCATCAGACTGCTGGAAGATTAAGGAAGAAGCTGAGAAGTGGAGTTGCTATTAGCATAATTAATAACTGAAGATCTTTATATCAACTAATTGCCTATCTGCCCTATACTTATATTCCTACAGTGGTGATGGAGTAGTCGTTGTGTCCAACTCCTGTGATCCCATGGACTGGAGCCTGCCCAGGCTCCTCTGTCCATGGAATTTCCCAGGCAAGAATACTGGATTTGGGTTACCATTTCCTTCTTCAGGGAATCTTCCTGACCCAGGGATCAAACCCATGTCTCCTGCCTTGCAGGCAGGTTCTTTACTACTGAACCACCAGGAAAGCCCTATGTGCTTATAGCCAGGTGTTTACCCCCTTGACAAAATATGCAAACAGTTCTCTAAGGGCATGTAGGTATTTATACCTGAATAAAACCTTGTTTTGGTGTGTGGGAGTCCCACAGTATAAAATCTGGCTTTAAAGCTCAGTTTGAGATGCAGTTTCTTAGCCAGCCACAGGTGTGTCATTTGGGGAGAGTTACTTAAGTTCATTTCCTCAGTTTCCTTTTATTTATAGAAGTATATCCATCATAAAAAGTGGTTGTGAGAATTTAATAAAATCATGTATACGCAAGTGCTTAGCACAGTGACTGGAACATAATAAACATTCAATAAATGATAGCCATTGACATTTTTATTGTTACTGATGAATTAGTTGTTTTACGTGGAAAGGGGGGAAAGAATCCAAAGGTTAGGTTTTGGAAAAAATATAGCAATATCTCTTCTAATTAGGTAGGAGAGAAATAGGTGAGAATGGGTATGAATGCATGTGGATGTATAAGATTACAAATCAAAATCCCCACCCCACTTTCCTCACCAATACCTAATTGTGTAGAACAAGAAATCAATATGCATTAGGATTCCAAAGAACCTAAAAATACCTATTTTAAAATTGCATTAAGATGGTACCCACCTGAAACTCCATCAGTATTCAAACAAAATTATTTATTTAGAGAAAATCCACTGTGTTTGCGTTTCCAAGACATGACAAAGGATTTTTTTAAATATTCAGTATAGAATACCATTAACATTGAAAATTGTGCCCAAAGAACCTAGTGCAAGATTAAAACTGCTTTCAAGTCTTGTGATTTACACTAAGAGTTAATCAAATATTGCTCAGCATGTTGGTATGTTTTAATATAAAAATATTTTTAATTTACATGGAGTAAACACTGCTGGTCTAGGGAGATATGCCATGTTCCTCACTTGCCCTGCCACACCGATTTAAAACTGATCAAGAGTTCTAGGTCCAGACCAAACAGCAACAGCAGAAGTTTACTGAACTTGTCTACTTGCTCTTAATTCATAGTTAAAAAAATATAATATTGTGAGGTCATCACACAAGATGACTGGCCAATTCAATTTTTTAAATCAATCAAAAGGGTTACATATTAACATTAAAAAAGCTTTGCAATCAGCCTACAGTGTTCGAGTTTTGAATCAGCTTTGGTCTAAGTAATAGTTCCTAAAAAACATAAATGTAAATGTTTATCAACAAAATAGCTGCTCAAAATAATTGCTTTGCTTAAATTTCATTCTTTCATACTTTATACCTATGTGTTGCAACTATTGTGGATATGCCAAAGATGAGATGATTTTAGTTTTCTTAGCTTGTCATGAAACTGCTTATGTTCTGAGGCCCCCTTTTTTTCCCTCTGATTTTACAATCTAGTAGTTACTGACAGGCACAGGCAAATGCTTTGTTCATCAGACTTTCTTCTAATGATTTCCATTTGTGATAAATCTCCAATCTGTCTATATGTTTCTAATGGGATATCAATGAAAGATTCAATCATACTGGAGGCCATGATGAAAAGGGACTCAACCTTGAAAGAGCTACTTTTTGGTGATAATCAGGTATATTTTCAATCAAACCTATCTTAAAGTTTTCCCTTAATCTTTATCCTTATCACTCTTTACCTACAAATGTGATATATGTTTTCTTTTCACTGATGCTGTAATTGCCTTTGGTAATTGTTAACAATGAGGATCTTGAAATAATACCCACTTAAGGTAAAACTGTCAAGAAAATGTAATAATTTACAGTCAGACTATTCCAGTTTCTCCTTAGGAATCTAAATTCATTCACTCAATTAAACATATTTTAAAAATACCTCCTATTATAAGCAAGGCACTCTTCTGGGTAACTGTATGAGAAATATCAAGATGTGTAGGCCTTTGCTTGAAAAGAGATGACAGTCTAGTATCTTCCAATATAGATGTTAAAAAGTGCTGACAGATTTAACTCCTTTGAGCATTTACTATCAAATATACTTAATCACATGCTTAAAATTAAGCCATTTTCTTCTGGCATATATAATATTAACACATCACCTGTGGAAAGGTAATGTAGAACACTGCCTTGAAGGAGGTTAGGCTCTAAATGTGAAAGAATACATATAAAAAATGCAGTACCCCAAACAGTAAACATATTTAAGCCAAAATTTACAAATAAAATGTACAGTTACAAACAGACTTCAATGAAGATTCTGGCTCAAAAAAATTCTACCCACTAATGCATTAGATATAAATGCATTTTAATTAGCAGTGTAACTTTTAAAAAGTGTTTAACTTATGAAAACACTGTTCATAAAAATTGTTTCCTGAAAAAGGTCTTTTCTCTAGAATTTCATATTAAGAAGAGGGAGATAGAAAGCTATACAATAAAAGATAAATCCAAATGTCCCAGAAGAGTTTAGTCAGAGCAAATTAAAACAAAATTTTGAATGAAATAAGTTTTTTTTTAAAAAAAGATGTTTTTAGATGGTTTTTTTGTGTGTGGTTTTTAACAAGGTACCACACAAGGAAACAAGTTAACAGTATGTTGAAAAACATCTCTATGTTATCTATTTCTTTTAGTGGCATGGTAAAATTTTGCCCTTTCATAATTTCTATCACTTTAAATAACCCCTTCCTAAACATACGATATATAAAACAGAGGCCATAAGAAAATTAGTCTCATTGTCACATCTGTTTCTGAATCCTTAGGTAAAAGTAAGCAATTACTTTCCTGTAATATTCCTTCTCCAAACTATCACTTTGTTTCATCAAAGTTTAAGTAGGCTCAAATCACATTTTTAGCCCAGACCTTTTTCAGTTGTACTTTATAGAAAATATATATCAAAGTATTAGCGCTGTGGCTGTAAAAATGTCTGCTACCTTTTGAATGCGATTTTTAGTAAAATCTTAGTTTCACTTTATAAAGAATACAGGATATACTTTTATATTTGGCTTTCTCAGAGTAAAGGGATATGCTTTAGTTAAAGCTCATTTGCTCAACACTGGCTTGGAATTTAAAAGATGATTTTACTTAATGTTAATTAAACTTTTGTAGCTGTAAGCTCATCATTTTAACACTTGGCTTGTCTGCTACACTATTTCTGAGTAGTAGTGAAATAATATGCTATTTCATTTGGATGATGTTGATGTAAATATGTAACCAAATATTAGAAAATTTTGTAATACTTGTACATTTTTTGACTATCCCTTTTAATATACTAAAATATGTGAAAATTTAATTTTTGACAAAATTTTATTCATAGCATTAGGAAAATCATACTCAAAACACAGAAATAATCAGACTATATAACAATGCTGCATAGATAGTGGTATACCAGTTCCCTGACGCTAAGTGACCTCTTTCTAACTAGAACTGCTATTTTCAAGTCACAGGTAGAAAATGGTAGAGGCGTTATTTCCTCTCTCTGAGGCTGGAAAAAATGGCTTTTATGGTGAGAAATTACACCATTTAAACAGCAAAGATTAGAGTATCCTCCAGTTTAAATCTATTCCCTTCATGTTATTTTTCAGAAATGAAAACTTAGAATGTTAGGATTATTAGAAAGGAATAGGAGGTAAATTACCTTTTAGGAGATAGCCCAATCCATGCCTGCTTTAATCAGATAAAACACTGAAGTTTTAAAAATTAAAACCACACCATTATGCTTAACTAGAATTGCCAGTATGAATACTTTTTTTACATAATACATTACAGGTATACAAGAAAAAAAAGAAATGACCCTGTTTCCAATCCTTTGACCTCAAGTAGAAAAAAGTGTTACCACTAATGGGGATCTGAAAAATTGTTTTCATGACACAGCATTAACTTTACAGAGATCAAAAGCATTTCTCAATACTGAAAATAGCCTAAATCAATGACAAATGGCTACATTTCTTTCATAAAATTACATTTTGAAAGGGAAGACAATTTATTTGGGAGGAATTTGTAGCTGAAAACATTTTTATTAAGAAAACATTGTTACCCTGAGAAAGACTCTTAAAACTGCCAGTGCTTTCAGAGGCTCCCAGCAAGGCATGAAGGAGCAAGTTGTAGGCTCTAGCTTCTTACAGTTACCTATATGAAGAATGTTTTTACCTAAACAGTGATTTGGGCTTCTCTGCGATACTGGTAACAGGTCACAGCCAAGTGTCTAAATGTAATGGACAATAAGCAAATTTTACATATTCATTTTAAGCAGACTTCTTCCTTTTCCCTTTTCTGAGAGTGAGTCTGAAATTCTTCAAATGGTTTTGGACTCAAACCTACTGTTCACAAAAATAATCTTCTGTAAGCAAATTGGTAGTTTTCTTATAACTGTAAACAAATTGTCTGGTTTACATTCTCTAATCTATGCCTTAGGAAAGAAGGCATTGATAATTCTTCATTGGCCACTGCAGAGCAGAGACAAGTCTTATTTCTAATCAGAGGCATATGCAAACATTCCTCAAAGTGCATTGTCATTATTTTGACTCCCTATATACTTTTAGTACAAAATGCTTACTCCCAACTCCTTACACATACCATAATTACTTGAGAAAAGACAAAATAAGATCAGCTACAGAAGTGGAAAGATATTTTTTCAAATAAAAATACAATATACAAAAAATGGCAAGTTAGTGATAAGTGGTAGAATAAACTCTCAATAATACTCCACTTTGGGTTTCAAATTAAGATTTAACGAGTTTGAAGCCTTGTCCTGTATCCAGCACAGCAGGAAGAAACCAACTCATTTTTAATCTTTTCAAGCACCTAAAACAAGTCTTGCAGATCCAAAAAAGGTTCAGACCACACAACCAATTTGCCAAATGCACTAGTGGATACGTAATACGAGGAAAGTACAGCATCCAGTGCTTGGCCACGTCGCTTCCCGTTGGCAGGTGCAGCGTGTAGTCACTCCACCGTTTAGACACGCCGTACACTGCTTTCACTGTGCGTCCCTTTTCAGTCCAGCAGATGTTATTAGTGGTGTTGCAGTTATATTCTACCCAGTCTTTTGTGAAGTCACCCAGCTGAGGTGGGTCAGCTTCTTCGATATCTATTGTCTTTGTCATCTCTGCTCCTTGCACTGCAATATACTGGTCGTTGATTTTTCTTACTTCTTTCACCCAAGGAGTTGAATTCTCACTGTCTAATATGATAATAAGTCGGGAACAAAAGGAACCATTCTTTTCTCGCCACCATTCTAAAAGTGTGTCAAGGCGTAGTATGTCACCACCTGTGAACAAAAGAAAGTTCAGTAGAGCAATTTAAGTGTCTTACTAACAATACTATTTTGTCTTGAGTGTATTGTCTTTAAGTTTTCAAAGTTAAATATGTAAGAAAAAAGAGGGTGCCTTCTTTTCAAAGTATCTTTACAGAAGAATTTTCAGAAACAGAAAATACTTTCAACTTCAAGTAAAACCAAAAAAACTAAAAAATCCAATCACCCTGTTTCTTAAAGAGATATGCTATGATTAAAAAAAATGCTACGATAAAATAAGAAAATTATTTAATAAAGTTAAATTTGGTGAAAAGAAATTACACAGCAAAGCTAATGTTCTACATTGGGCAGCAAATTATGACTTGTGGTCATATCTAGCCTGCCACTAGTTTTGCATGGCCTGAGAGGTAAGAACTGATTTTACATTTTTAAATGGTGTAAAAAAAATTTTAAAGAGAAGTTTGTGATGTAAAAATTAAGAGGAAATCTAAATTTCATGTTTCTATAGATGTCTATGACTGCTTTTATTCTACAAAAAGCTAAGTATAGTTGCAACAGGGACTTTATGGCCTACCAAGTCAAAAATACCTGATCCTTACAGAAAAAGGGTGCTTACCCCTGTTCTACATCTCTGATAAACTGTTAACTTATCCTCATATGTGGGTACCTACTAGATAAAAAACACTCCCCCTCCTAGTAACAAGAGTTTGGAATTGGTTTATTTTTAAATCAGTTTTATACCCCAAAACAACAAAGGATTAAAAAAAAATATATCAGAAATGTCTAAGGTAAAAATATTTCTGACCTAGAAAGCTGTCTTACAGCTACTTATTATACATTTTGTTCATATTGTATGGGTTTTTTGCATTAAAATTTTAAATATACTGTATTAAAATTTTATCACTTAATTTTTAGTACTCCATTAAATTTTGTGCCCCAGGCATCTGCCATTCTCACCTCACTCTAGTTCTGGCTCTGTCTCAAATGGTACACTAATCCAATCCTTCCAATTCTAGGAATTTATCCTAAGAAGGGGCAGGGATGTGGACAAAAATCACATACAAAGATCATCTTCCCACTGCTACCTCAGATAGTGTAAAATCTGAAACAACTGAAGGAATGGAAGTAATTATAACCTTATGAGGGAGTTTTATCATAAATCATATTTATAAAGAAATTTTAATAACAAAATATGATATTAGGAGAAAAAGCATGACATAGAAGTATATCTACAAAAATAATAGCAATAGTTATTGTCTGGGTATTCGGACTTCAGGTGGCTTTTGTTATACTTTTTTATATCTTCCAAAATTTTTACATTGTTATTTTTATAATTAGAAGAAAGTTTTAACATGCTACAATTTACTAATACAAGCTCCAACAACCTAGCTCCAGAATAGGTATTTCTAACAAAAGCAACCATCTTTGCTAAACTATCAAAATGACAATACTGGAGAGACAGAAAATCTTTTAGAATTTGGATTCTATCAGTAATATGATCTATAAAGACAGAGCATATATCACATTCTTTATGAATAATAAATATTTTTTTATTCACCAGACTGTGACAATGCAGAATTTGTTTCATGAATTGCTCTTACACACGTTTGTCATCTCTGAGGCGCTATTTTTCACGTATTACTAATGTATTGCTTCACAGACACCTCTATAAGGTACGTTTTTAAAAGGATCAAGCTCACTTTTCATTATTTCTACTTATATTAAACTTCTCTGGAGAGGACAACATGATTATAAGAGTTATACAAGTTCCATCTGCCATAAAACATTGTCTAACTTGCCTTCTACAACTATTTCAATAAATATTCTGTAGCACATGCTTACACTAATTCTTATACACATGCTCTTTAGATATTAGCAAGAAATTACAGGGCTTTTAATGCTGCTTTAATACTAATTCTCTTGTCTTGTTTTGCTCTACTTTCTCCTATGAAAAGGTTCTATGTCAAATTTGGCTTTTGGCCCAGATGTAAAGTACTTACATTTATCTCAGTAACATCTGATGCTGTTCAAGTAATTGAGACTGTTTTTAAAGACTTTATCTGTGATAAACTGCTTTATAGGTTAAATAGATTGTTTCATTTGTCTCTCTTGTCATTACCAAATTGTTTTTTACCCTCAAGCAAAGAGGCAAAGATACTAGGTTCCACATTATGAAGTCCTACAAGTGTAAGAAGACTACATATTCTAAGAAGTACTGTGAGTAAAGATATGGGTAAAGGAGCACACACAGATTTTTTCTCACAGTGAGTTCTGACCTATTCTTAACCTCAAGTAAAATCTAATCCTGATGCTTCCTATCTAAAGGTTTTAAGAAAAAAAAAATTTTAAAGAAAACTATTTATTAATAAGTTCTCACACTTAGCATGCACGCAGAGCTTAGAGTTCTTTGTCACTTAGACTGGAATGGAAAACATTTTCTTCAGAGCAGGGGTGTTCAATAACATTTCTGAGAAAGAATCAACTTCTGGGGCTGTTTCAGGCAGGCCAAGGGAAGGAACTGATTGAAAACAGGATGCATTCTCTGGGCCTGGTTTAACCTGCAAGTGAGCCAGGTGCCTCAGGCCAGCGGGGAGTACATGGTTGCTGAATTATGGGGCAAAGCCGAGCCCTCTTGGGGACGGTAAGGCCTGTCAACCTATGCTTTCTCCACTGTCTTGTTCTACTTTTACAATAAAGTGTCTCACAGAGAAAATTACACATACAGGAACAAGTCTTCCTGGCTAAAAGAATTTTGTAATGGTCTACTTATCCCATCTTTATATTTTTAATGTATAATATTGTAGAAGGTAACTATTAGACATTTATTTACCTAAACTATAACACTACTTTAAAGTGTCTTAAATTATTCTCAATTCACAGTGAAGGAAAACATAAGAACACTGACATTTATGCTACTGCTATTCATCCTGGTGTCTATTACATTTTCTAAGAAAAAACTACTATAAATATCAGTAAACTGAACATCTAGAGTTTATTTCCAAAGCCATCTTTTAAAAAATATTTGAGATAAATTAAGAGTTAAGAAAATACAAACTTTTGGGAAAATGTTTATATTAAGTAATAAATACTTCATGTAAACATAAGCTTGTTTTAAAAACAATTAGACCTAGAGACTGTCATACAGAGTGAAATAAGTCAGAAAAACAAATCGTGTACTAATGCATGTATGTGGAATCCAGGAAAATGGTATGGATAAATTTATTTGCAAAGCAGAAATAAAGACATAAACAGAGGGGGGAAAAATGTATGGATACCAAGGGGGGACATAAGGGTTAGTGGGATGGATTGGGAGGCTGGAATTGACGTATCATCTACTTTATGCACAGTAGTGTTAACTAATGAGAACCAACTGTATGCTGAGGAAACTCTACTCCATGCTCTGTGGTGACCTAAATGGGAAGTGAGGTGGAAGTCACTCAGTCATGTCTGACTCTTTGTGACCCCATAGACTATACAGTCCATGGAATTCTCCAGGTCAGAATACTGGAGTGCATATCCCTTCTCCAGGAGATCTTCCCAACCCAGGTCTCCTACATTGCAGGTGGATTCTTTACCAGTTGGGCCACCAGGGAAGCCCAACCTAAATGGAAATGAAATGCAAAAGAGAGGGGACAGAGGTATACATATAACTCATCTACTTTTCTGTACAGCAGAAACTAACAACGCGGTAAGGCAACTATACTCCAGAAAAAAAAAAAAAAAAAAGAAAATATACACACAGATAATCAAATGAAAGCACAGTGCCAGTGCCAGAGAACACTGTGGATTAGATTCTTTTTCTTCAGTGGAATTCTTTAAGTATTAACCAATTTAACCTTTGGAAATGAAGTACCTGTCTTGTAATGGAAAAGCTCCATTTAATTGTGAAGCTATAATTTGTCCCGGCTGCTTTATTCTTCACTAAAGCATTCTCTAAGCTTTGCATGTTTAATATTTAGCATATAATAAGAAACAGTATTTTAAAAAGTCTAGATATAGCAATGATCTCAAAGCCCATACCTGGATATGGTTTTCTTGAACTTGTTCGGGATAAGCTTGTCAGTTAGCATGCTCTCCCCACTGCCTCTCAGCCTTCCTATTTCATCCTGACACTCCAACCCACACATCTGATATCATCAATAATGAAAAATTTTCCAGGTTAAGTCTAAGATAATAGCCACCACTGCTGATATAATATCAATCATTTTTGTTATTGCTCCAATGAAACATGTTTGTTATTTATGTAGAGGACAGTATGCTTTACTACCTACTCAAAAGTCAAGTCACTGGGTAGAATTCATTATTTCTCTTTACTACAATCATATGCTTAGGAAAAAACTATAATTCATGCAGTAATTAAATGAAATAGAAATTTAAAAAATGAAATTACTTTCTTATAAAAAATAACGAAGAATATATGCATGGCCACCAAAATTATGCCCCTCCCCTTGCATTTGAATTATTATAAGCATTTCAGTAGTAGTTTTCAACTAATCAATCCCTGCTTTTAGGTTTGAATATTTCTGTAAAAATGTTTGAACTGACTAAAACTTTTTCTCTTGGGCTCTGAAGTACACAGAATGCTATACTTTACCTGAATTTGAAATAGCTGTAAAGGTTAAAAAGTTATTTTATATGTTGTCTTATTAAAAAGTCACAAGTTGAGTAAATGATTTTATAACCTTATGCTGAAGTAGTTTTAAGTTGACTAGTTTCTTTCATATTACAGTATTTCAAAAATGGGTGAACCATGCTATCAGAAGTATCTTTGGAACCAGAACATATCATTTCTGTGCCTTTGTGGTTTTTACCTTTCGCAGCAACATAGTACAGTGGCAGGGAGGGGGGATTTTAGGTGTCAGGCAAAACCAGACTTGAATCGTGGTTCCATCACTTAGGAACAGTATGACCATATGTAAGTTATGTAACCACTTTCAGCTTTCATTTCATCCTTTGAAAAATAGAGGTGACAGTATCTCAAAGAATTTCAAGTGAAGAGTAAGTTAATGTGTATAAAGTGCCAAGCATAGCAGCTATGCGTCAAACATGCTCAGTAAGTACTGGGACTCCCCTGGTGGCTCAGATGGTAAACAACCTGCCTGCAGTGCAGGAGACCTGGGTTCCATCCCTTATCAGTTTGACTTTACTCTTTCTAGACAGCCACTGACTTACTCAGTATTTGTTAGACCAAAAAATTTCAAAAATCTATTTATAATAAAACCCTGGAAACCAATCTGGCACTAAATTAGTGAGACCATGATGGTTTGAAATCATGTCTACTTTAACCTCGAGTTTATTTCCTTTCTTATGGAATTCTTATATTGGCACTCAATCTCTGTCCTTCCATAATATTTCTCTTTATATTTTTCTGTATCTTTTTCTACTTATATTTTATGACTATTTTATTGTGTTCACGGTGTAAAACATCTAAAAAATTTTTAGAAAAAAAAAAAGGATATAATTAAGTCTAAATGAAGTATTCCTAATCCAAAATAAGAAAATTACCCATTTTGTCATGATTCATTCAATGATTTTATCCATCTATGTACTACTTAAGGAACCCCACTATTTGCCAGACTCTTCCAGGACTAAGCAAGTTATCGCATAAAACAAAACCTTTGATTTACAGAGTCTCCTCTCTAGTTGGGAAAACCAACAAATTTACATCCAAATCTCATTTCTCCCTTGGCAAGGAGGTTTAATATTACCCCTTCTATTTTCAGATGAGAGAACTGAAATAGAGTAATATGCCTCCAACAGCAGTGCTGGGGCAAATTAGGAGAGAGCGAAGGTCTCCTGACCTAAACACTACTCCAACCACATCGTATCTCCTGCTGCTTACAATTATGGTGTGTTTTCTAACAGACAAAATTGAACATGGGAAGAACTACTGAAGTATCTATAATCTTAAAGACTTAGAAGTTAGTCAAATAAGTTAATCAGCTTCTGAAAAATGTAACTATTTAATAATTCTGAAAATAGTTTAAAGGGAAACTAATTGTAAGTCTCATATCAAGCACTCAGATTTTTTTTCCTTCCAATCAACACAAAATATAATTTTCGAAACCTTTAGAGATCACTAAAATTATGCTAAACAAGTATGCCAGAGAAAAGGTAAACAAAACAGTCATATGTATACTTGGTAAACTATAAAGTAGAAAATTGAGAATTTCGAAATACTGTTTCAGTGTGAAGGACAGATTTTCACAAACAGGTGTATCTTCACAACAGTGAAACTGCCAGAGGTGGACTTACCTGCAAGAGCCCACTCTCCTGTACCATGGGTGTGCCCACTGTAATATAAAACATACGTATCATGCCTAGGCCCATCCACAGTCCGAAGTTCAAGGAAAGCTTTCAGTTTGGAATGTAGAGTATCAAACGATAGTCCACTTGTAGAATAGTCACACCCATAGGTCTCAATCATGTGATAAGCAAAAAATCTTTGGATAGCGTTGAGCATGCCAGTAGACCTCAAATTTAACTCCTGTACATGTTCTGGTGGAAGAAGCGTTGGCTGACCATCAGGACTGAAAAAGGAGGAAAAAACATCATTTTGGTGTTCATGAAGTGTTCATTCTATGTCACATGCCTATTTTTCATTTATAATAAATTATCTAAGATTCCTAAGTTACTAATAACTAAATGGCATAATCTTTTTTTTAAAAAACCCATCTTTTCTAAATTTTCCACAGTGCTAAGAATTATGCTTGGAAAATCAAAGCCTAGTTTCTAAAACTTACACCTCTTATCAGTAAGATCTGGTGCTCTGTGACAACCTAGAGGGGTGGGATGGGGGGTCTGTGGGACGGAGGTTCTAGAGGACAGGCACATATGTACACTGATGATTGGTTCATGGTGTTGTAGAGCAGGTACCAACACAACACTGTAAACCAATTATCCTCCACAAAAAAATAAAACTGAAAGCTGGGAGGATATCTCTAAATGTGGATTGTACTACTCTTCATTCGCATCTTCTTACCAAATGAGATATTAGACAAGACTTTAAAAAGTAAGACTGTACTAATTTTACCCCCAAAATGTTTCAAGAACACTGGATTGGGGACAATAAGGAAAGTACTTTTTTCTTGAGAAAAAACATAGTATGGAAACAGTATTTTAAATTAATTTCCATATTGAAAAATAGTCTTTATAAAGTGTTCAAGTTTTACTAACTTGAGGTACACAAATGACAGAACAACTTACCTTTTAATAAATGACATTTAAAACAATTATTATAATTTAGGTCCATTGCCTTATACTACTGAACACTAATTGAAGACAGGCTTGATCCTGGAATACATGTAAAATGGTACGTTGGTAAAGATGATAACCAGTTCTTAAAACTAGCAGGATCAAATCAATTTTCAGGGAGAATAAAAACCATCACTCCTATCCAGAAACTGGATTTCTAAATAGGAATTTTGAAAACTTTACATTTGTGTCATGTATTATCCATACTATTCTGATAATTCTACAAAAGCTTTCATTAAAAAACAAAACATTTTGTCACATATTTTATCATTTAACAGCCACAAAACAGTAAAAGAGTAAACAATCATAATCAAAAATTACAATAAAAATCTGTAAATTACTACTTTCCCATATTCTTCCTAGAGAGTTGTCACATCTTTATGGAATCTTTTGAAATATATTTCTTTTACTTCTCATGAGAATCTTCACCTTATTTATCAAATCTTTAATATGGAGGAAAATATTTACTACAAATAGTCAACTTTGTGGTTTTATGTCAAATATTTAAAATCCAATAAAAACTTTATGTTCAGTTTTCTCCCACCTCTGCCAAGGAAAATATGATGACTACTTTGTCAGCAGAATTCATTACTGGCAAGGAACTTTTTTTTTTTTTCCTATTTCAAAGGTACTTAAACTATAAAAGAAAAACTAAAATTTGGTAATGATTATAGATTGAAACAGATTAGGCACATATTAGAGTCAAAATTATTTGAATAAAACTTCCATGATATTTGATTTTATTGTGAATGTTTCTGAATTCCTGGTATTTGGACTACATTTTCAAGTAGATAGTATTTTTATATTCATATTCTCACGACCGCTTCATGACATTCCTCTGTCTGCATTTTAAATTAAGACACTGAGGTTGAGAGAGGTTATGATTTGCCTAAAGGAACACAGAACTAGAATTTAGGATGCTCAGGTCCAGTGTACATTCTGTTACTAGTGTACAATCTATTACACTTCACGATGTGGTTTCACAACTCCTTAAACAAGATATTCCTAAGAAAATGGAAGAACTTTACAAAGAAAATCTACTCATATTTTTATGATTTTTAGCTAAAATATACTCTAATCACATTTACCAAAAAAAAAACACTTTAATTGAACCCTTAAGATTACTACTCAGAGTAGATAAAGGTTTTTAAACATTTGGGATAAATGAAAAAAATGCAAGAGTATTATATTTTGAGAATATTATAGCTTTGAAAAAATGAGCTATGAGCTTATATTCATACAAATATTAGAAGAATGTTGAGTCAAGGTACTATGACTAATTACACTAGGTTACTGTACCTGCAAAAATTGGTGGGAATCACAATAGCATATCCAACAGATGTTCCTCCTAAACAGCTACCCAATTCATGGAAGAGGCCATGAGCCATAGATTCCAAAGGCAAAACAATTAGAAACATGCTCAAGAAGATTCCGTTTGTTGGCTAAAAAAAATTTAAAACAGTATGTTTACATAGCATGTGTGATTAAACTTATGTATGTGAGTATGCATATATATTTATATAAATCCATATTTATTCATTTTTTGCCCCTACTTCCAAAAAGGATTAAAAGGATAATTAATGATCTAAAATCCATTATAAGTTGAAAGACACAAGTAAGAACACATGGATAAACAACAGAGCCTAAGTTTATCTAGAAGCTCCTGGACATCATGGTAAAACAAACATAACATATTGTATTTTTTAAAAAATTTGTCAAATAATATCCCAAACTAAAAACATGTATAATATACATATATGTAATATCTTTAATATGACAGAGAAAAAAAGCCAGAAAACAAATCCTTTCCTGTTAAAACCCACATGCTTTAAATCATTTTCCAAATAACACACTCATTTATCAGAGTGTAGAAAGGGTCTTTTTTTCCCCTGTGAAAAGTCCGGAAATTAAGAGAAAATTTTAAAATGTAAACTCCTTAAAACTATAAAAATGAATTCCATTCTTAAACTTGTAATACAGCTTTCCTTTGAAAATATCTAGACTCTTTGTAACTAAATCAAAACTAAAATGTTTATCTATACATTAAGGACATTTAAGCAGCCTAAAAACAATGGAAAAAGGGAGGCAGGCGAAATTTTAAGAGAAGGCAGATTTAGGTAGTATTTGCAATTAAAATGAAAAAGGACCCATTTAAATGAAAAGAAAACGAAAGCATGAGTCACTCAGTATCAACCTGTATTCTTACAATACGGATAGTACTTCACATTCTCTGTGTTGCTACTGTACATATTACACAGATAGGTGTGTATGTGCATGAATGAATACATGTTTTTCTAACACTAACAAGTGGTTCATTTGATCAGAATTTTAGTAAAAAAAAAAAAAGTTGAATCCCATAATGGAAAAATGGATAATGCCCTGTTTTTGGTACACTGGTGGAGGTGGTGTAGTCGCTAAGTCATGTCTGACTCTCGAGACCCCCATGGACTGGAGCCTGCCAGGCTCCTCTGTCCATGGCATTTCCCAGGCAAGAATAGTGGAGTGGGTTGCCATTTCCTTCTCCAGGGGATCTTCCCCCTCCCAGGGATTGAACCCAGGTTTCCTGCATTGTAGGCAGTCTCCTGCATTGCAGCTGGATTCTTTACTGCCACCAGGGAAGCCCACTTTTGGCATATTCTGTGCTATCAATTACATAAATAATACAGTACATGCTCAATTTAGAAACGAGAAAAAGATATTAGATTCATTCTGAGTACCATTAACATACACAGATAACTGTTTAAAATATGTTCAAACTTCATGCAATATATGTAATCACCAATATTTAGTCTTTTACCAAAGTGGGATGATATATAATGTTCTGCAAACTTTCTAATACACTATAAGCCTATTAATGTAATTCTAAATCATTTGTAAATACCAAATGGCATTACTATCATATTTATGAAATTTTAATTAGCTGATTTCCTATTTGTGTATTTAGATTCCTTAAATTTTTCCTCTGTGATAAACAAAACCAGAATAAGTACTGAGTACTCTGATGATTATATTAAATATCTTTGATCATTTGGGTTCAACTTTGGTGAAATATTTTGCCATGGGGCTTTCTATTAATGATTCACAGTTTTGTTTTGCTATCAATATAAGTATAATGTAGTCATGTTATGTCTTGCTAAATCTTCTCCATCTACCTAAAGATCAAGATGGTATTTTACATTATCCTCTAAAGGTTTTGTTTTTTTTTTCACTTTGCTTTTAAGTCTATAATCCAAATATAGTTGACTTTTATAAGAACAGTTCAAATTAAGTTTTTTATATGAGCACTCAACTATTTACCAATTACTGAAAATCTCAACCATTCCACATTACTGTGCTAATTTTGTCATGAATCAGGCATTCTGATACCTGCTTTTTTACTCTTATGTTCCACTGGCCTATCTGTTTTTTTAAATAGTTCCTTTTGCCCACATTTCCTCCTTTCTTTCTGGGACTCCAGTAAAACACAAATGAGATTTCTCTGTATCTTCTATGAGTCTTATCCTTCTGTACAGTATATCCCCTATTTTTCCTCTTAAAGCTTCTACTTTCATAGCTTTCTCTGAACTATATTTTCCAGCTAATGCTCACTTCTCATTTGTCTGTTAAACTTGCACGCTGAATGAATTTCAGGTATTTTATTTTCTGATTCAAACACATGTCTAAAAAGAAAATAAAAGCCTGTCCAGTTCTTTTTCAATCTGCCTTGTCGCTTTTTTATATTAATAGCTTCCAGTTTCCCACCATTATTTACTATCTTTGCTTTTGTTTTTCAACTTGCTAAGTATGATGGCTTTCTGTGTTTGATAATTACAGTAAACCAAGACATTTTGGTCTGCCTATTGTCTGCTGGTTCTGTTGCTTCTTCCTCTTGATGCCATGTGAGTGAGTGAGAAAGAGAGAGAATCTGGTTATATTTATGAGTTGAATACTGTATGCAAAAATTTATTATATGACTAATTTCAGAACTAGGATAATTATACCTTCTCCAAGAGGATTTCTGTTTCTTCTAGGGAGCTGTGGGCATTAACAATTTATATATCTTAATCCAGGCTGTATCACTAACAGGATACAGTATCAGGATGCAAATTCATTAGAGGGTGTAAAGTATTTATTAAAAAATATATTCCTACTATAAACACCAACTTCTTATACAACTTATATCCAAGAGAATATACATAGTTTTTATACTTAGGTTAATAACTATATCAGTTAGAAAAATCACTCTTTTATGACATAGCTTACAATTTAAAAGATGCAACAACTGTCACAACAGTTGATACAGCAACTTCAATGGCTGTTTTTTAAACATTACCTGTTTAACTCTTAGGTTTAACAGGTAATCATCCAATCTACAAATATTGATAATTTCATTATTTTCTTTTCAATTTCTATACCTCTATTGCATATACTGTTCCATTATAACAGGAAATACTTTGATCAATTAAACCCTTATCCACATTAAAGTGGATGGGGAGCTTTTAGATATGGATGGCTAACTGTACTACACCATAAATATAAGGGACTCCAGCAACTGCAAATTTTGGTATTCAGAGGAGGTACTGGAATCAATCCACTGTAGATACCTAAGGATCACTGTACATTCAAATTATGTCAGCCATTTACATAAAATAATTACTGGCGGGGGGATCAAAATGGTGGAGTAGTATGACAGGAAGCTCACCTTTCCTAACAAAAACATTAAAAACACATCTACGAGTGGAATGACTGAAACGGAACATGTACTGAAAGCCAGCGGGAGACCTCAGACTTCTCAAAGGGTAAGAAAGCCTCCACGTAACTGGGCAGGACAAAAGGAAAAGGAAACAGAGATGAAGCCTGCACCCAGGGAGGAGCTGTGGAGGCAAGTTTCCCACCCCCTGGGCAGTCCCTCGCCAGCACAGAGATCAGCCTAGATGGAGGGAGCTTCAGAGGCTAGGAGTAGAGCGCAGCATTGGCGGAGGGCACAACAGTAACGTGAACAGAGGCTGGCACTGCCGCCCTGCACTTCCCGCCTAAGATGCTCACATGCTGGTGAAGTTGGGGGTTAAGTACTAAGGTACAGGCTTCAGAGGTCAGACGCAGGGAGGGGACCAGGGTTGGCTGTCTGGAGACAGCGTGAAGAAGCTGGATGGTAGCAACAGAGCAGGTACTCAGAAGAAGCTGGGGCTGATGAGAGATACGAAGTGCCATTGTTGAGGGGGTGTGCATGGGAAGAGGGGTGAGACCACCGTAAAAGCTCCTTTCCCTGTGACCACTTGGCAACAGGACACTACCCACAGCAGTTCTGGGGGCAGGCGCAAGTCATTGCAGCCATCCTAGGCCCCAGAGGTGGCTATGAACTGCCACTACAAGACCTAACAGCAGGTGCCAAGCACTGCCACCACCATCCTGGGAGTGTGTGGATAGCAGCTGCCCACAGGAGACCCATGAGCAGTGCCAAGCTCTGGCCCTGCTGTCCCAGGAGTGTGCAGACAGCCACCACCCCCAGGAGACCCAAGAGCAGGTGTCGAAGACTGCCCCCTTTGTCCTATGTGCGCACAAGGGCCTCTGAACCTGCACACCACGTATCAAGGGGGTGACGGCCAGCATACACTGAGGAAAGAGACAGCATCCAAACAAAGCAGCCCCCTGACTCTGGAAAAGATGGCAGAGTAGAAGGACGTGAGCTCACCTCTTCTCATGAAGGGGCTTCCTTGCTGTCTCAGACAATAAAGATCCTGCCTGCAATGTACAAGGCCAGGGCTAGATTCCTGGGTTGGAAAGATCCCCTGGAGAAGGGAATGGCTATCCACTCCAGTATTCACGCCTGGAGAGTATAATGGACAGAGAAGTCTAGAAAGCTAAAGACCATAGGGTTGCAAAGAGTCAGACACAACTGAGCGACTAACACTTTCACATCTCATGAAAACACCAAAATCACAACTGCTGAACAATCATCTACAAAACACTGGAACCTACCAAAAAAGGTATTTTACAATCAAGTCAAAAAGATGGTGGAGTAGAAGGACATGCGCTCATCTTCTCTTGCAAGAACACCAAAATCACAACTAGCTGCTGAACAATCATTGACAGGAGAATGTTGGAACCCACCAAAAAAAGATACTCCACATCCAAGGGCAAAGGAGAAGCTGCAGCAAGACAGCAGGAGGGGTGCAATCATGTTTAAAATCAAACTTCATGCCTGTCAGAGACGCCTGGAAAGCACAAAGAAAACCTTTTGCACATTAAGATGCAGGGAAAGGAACAGTGGTCCCCAGGAGAGACTGAGCCAGACCTGCCTGTGACTGTCTGAGGGTCTCCTGTAGAGGCACTGGTCAGCAGTCGCCTGCTGAGGGGTCAGGAACACTGACAGTAGCAGTCCTAGGAGGTGTGGGGTGTGGCATAAATCCTCCCGAGGAGGCTGACACTGCATGCTAAGTCACTTTGGTCATATCCGACTCTT